TTCTCCGCCTACGGTGCGTACAGGTCGTCGGTCGTCGGCGACGATCAATTCGCCTATACGGCGAAACGATCGTCGTGTGAAGCTGCTGCTTGTCACTGGTGCTTATTTTTCCATCTGAGTTTTCTTGGTCGAAGTACTGTACTGTACTGTACTGAGGTATTCGTTTTTCACAATTCATGTTCGCTTAGCTTCCCCTCCAATCGATCTTCGAATCTTTAGAGTCACACACAGGGGCGTCACAGGGTGGCTGTGAGTGGTACGACCGGGGATCGGGGTGTCCCCTGGAGAAAAAAATAAGGATTTTTCGGCTAACAGGGCACGTTTCAGCACTCTACAGCCGAAAAGGAGGGTTCCCTTAGCACTAATTAGACAACCCCACTCCAGCTCCAAAAACATACTTCTCAATTTGTCATGGAATTTTTGGTATTTTCTGTACATCGTAGGTAGCCATGCAAGACAAAAGGAACCCATTGCCCTCGAAAAAAATCGCAAAATCCGAAGTACAAGCGTGCTGCGCGCGCGTTCTAGCGTCAGCCGCTGTGCAAAAATGTATGTCATGTTCTGAAAAAGTCCGCCGCGTCGCATGCACTATGTACACGGCCGGCCTGGACAGTCACTAAGAAATTATTTTAGTTGTTTTTAGAGAGAGAAGAAGATCCTTTTTTGTTCGGTGGGATTGAAAGATCTGCCATGCCAGTGGACCGGTCCGGAGAGCTACAACACTGGAAGCAGAAAAAAGATTATCTTCTCTGTCTTCGTGGCAACAGGACTTTAGTTTGCGAGAGACTTTCGTCCTGTCGTCGCGGACGCAATTCTCGTTGCTGCTACCAGAAACCTTGGAGAACGAAACGATCGTAAATCGTTAGGTGAAGCGGGTCGCGTCGGTGAACAGCTGCAGAATATTCTGCCGCCGTGGAGCAGCAGTCCAAACACTATTCAACTTCGGTGAAAGAAGCGCTTCCCTTTTCCGTTGACAAGCGCGGCGTTCGCGGTTGTAATGCATTTTCGCATCAGCTTGCAGTAGATCGTCAGGAGCCAGAGGTACTAGGTAGGTGTCGTTGTGGAAAGAATATAATAATGTTGTAGCTGACAAGTGACATACATGTACATGTAGTGCCTCTTGACCATGCTGATCGCCATTGTAACATGGTAGATCTTGGAAAATGTTAGTTCTGGACCCAGTGATCGCCGCCAGCTCAGCTCTGTTTCCGTCAAGTTTGCAGTGAATGCGTCCGTGAGGAATCCATCGTCTGGTTGTCTCTACCCGTGACTCCAACCGCCTATCGTAATGGATAGCCGCCTGGAGTCTTGGGCAATAGCTAGCTGCTAGTGCTAGGCATCAAGTCTGTATGCTCCTTGCAATGAAAGTTGCGATGTTATGTACGAGTCCGAAGATCCTTGAATTTTTTTAATGCTTTTTTGGATGAATTGGGTGGACCATCCTGGACGAAAAGTGGTACGACCATAGTCGTAGTGGTCATACCGTGTGTGACGCCCCTGCACACAAGTTGTATGGTGTGTTGCTATGTGTTCTTAAATTGTGGTTTGACCGTTTTGTCTGATGGTCTTGCCAGCATCATAACTTTTGCATCAACTGTTGCAGGCGCATAGCACTGCCGTTGGAGTTGGTCCAGCCGAAGGGGTGCGGAGGTCGCCCGCGGAAACAATTTGAAATATGGGTGCATAGTCCTGTATTCTGGGCACTTCCAGGCGTAAAAGTGGTCCGGCAAAAGCTGGACCGGCCGGACCGGCTGCTACGCCCCTCTGTTGCACTAAAATATGTTGGTTCCGCAAGGAGAAGCTTGTCGTTTGGAGTGAAAAGTGATCACCGCTGCTTTTCTTTATGAGCACTCATGGTTTAGTGCCAATACCGGTAGTTTTCGATCAAAGTCAAAACAACATTTTTTTGAACACTCGATGTTCAGACCGAAAACTGGGAGTTTTTCTATCAAAGTCAAAAATCCCCGGTATGCCAGTAGCGACCATAGTTTCCCGGTATGATACCGGGAAAAACGATATGGTTGGCAAGTATGCATGTTCCTGCCTGATGGTTGAACTTGTGAACAAGATCGACATTGTTTGAATTTGTTGTGGACTTTGTCTTTGCTATTTTCATTCTGTCTACTCTCTCACCTTTCTCCTCTCTCACGTCTTCTGTAGAACTTCTTTCCAGTCTGTCTCTCTGCTCTTCTCTCTACTCTTCATCTCAAGAACGATTCTCTTCTCCATTCCTTCGTTCTTGTACTTCTCTAAACTTCTTCTCTGTTCTCTTTTTCTCTTCGTTTGAATTTCCTTGAACATGATGTGAGCATGTGTTTTTTGCACTCTGAACTGTCTTGATTTTGAAACTAGGGTATTGAGCCAATAATAAAAGTAGAAAGGAAAAGGACATATTATGGAAACGAGTTAAGAGTAACTCTCCACCACTGTAACTAGATACTATATACAGTCAGAAAGTGCAACAACTAGGCACAAAACTGACAGAGTACTTTTCGTTCTCGCAAAGCTTCCCCCTTCTTAACTTATCTTTGATATTTTTGACCCACCCAAGTTGGGTGGTGTGCTGCTTTGCTGCTTCGAATTGTAGTTAGACCGCTTTGTCATATCGCCTACTGGTCTCGTCATCGTCCAGTGACAATCGACATTCTTTGTTCCGTTGGGACTGTAGCTTGTGCTCGTTTTCGTTGCGCTTGCCTTCCCCTCTTTGGTCTTTCCATAACCTTGAACCTTCCAAGTTGGAAGGCTGTCGGTTAGCGCTACGGAGATGTGTTGAAGCTAGGTGTCAGGACGTCGAATGTCTCAGTATTCTGTCAGTTTTGTGCCTAGTTGTTGCACTTACTGACTGTATATAGTATCTAGTTACAGTGGTGGAGAGTTACTCTTAACTCGTTTCCATATGTCCTTTTCCTTTCTGTCTTGATTTTCTTTTATGTTTTTTGCCAAATGTACAATGCACTGTGCACTGTGTGTGTACAATGCTGCATGGCTAGCGATGCGCTTTCTTTGGTACTGACTTTTTCTGTTGTGTCCGTGATCTATGGCTTTCGCTTTCTTGCAGTTTTCACCGCTTTGCTGCAATAGTTGCTGTTTCCTTGAGGGCGAACTGCGATGCCTCCATTTTCGCAGATGGTCTTGGTGCTCGAGGCGCCGAGCGGACCTCGTGGCTTTTTTGTTTAGTTTCTTTTTGAGAGTTTTCACTTTTCAGATTTGTTGTTGTTTGTGAATACAGTGTATGCAGTCTTCAAGCGAGCAGTAGTTTTCGATATGCGGTCCTGACCTTTGTTGTCTGTACTGCCCTGAACAATGCATTTGGATTACTTTATTAAACAATGTAAGAGATGGAGGCGATGCGAAAACTAGTGTTGAAACGATCTCACCGGGTACTCATTAGCTCGCTCGTCAGAAACTCGGCTCGTTTGTGCGGCCAGCTCCTTTGCACTAACGAACACCGTACACCGTACTATATACACATGGCAGTACATGTCGACCGGGGAGTCGAAAAATATTGTACGACTCCCTGGTCGATCGAGAGTCCAGTCCCACGCAAAGTGAAAATCACTCGCAGTTTACACTGTAAGTCTGTATGCCTGCACAACACTTTAGTTATTTCAGTTGTCTTTGGTGGACTCTACTGATGTCTTGTTCTGCATCTGCTGACCTGTCGCAGGACATGCTTCGGTCACCTCTCCATTCGAGTGAAAGTTACGCTCAGTCATTTGGAAGTTTTCGTCCGCGATGCAGCGAAGAACAGGGCTACTTGCAATCTTTGATAAATGGTCTATTCTTACAAAGGCTACGCAACGACGGCGCTGAAAAGACATCTCGACACCAAACAGCAGTCTGAAGTGAAGCAGCAGCAACCCCAAATGCTGGCGGTGATTATTTGAACCAGCTGAAAAAGAAATCCAACTTCATCATATTTGCCACATCAATGAAACTCGTTACTCGACGTTAGCTCGCTCGATAGCTTGTTTGTTAGTGGAACTGATCGCTCGTTTGTTATAGATACGCTCGTTTCAACACTAGCAAAAACAGTCGAAAAGGGGAGGGAAAATACATGTAAGAAGAAAAAGAGCGATGGAAAAAAGATGATTCGAACAAGTTTCCGTACAACACTCTTCGGGAATCGCCGTCGCACTAAAGAACAAAATAAGAACGGAGGAAATAGTATAGCAATAAAGGTAGGGTAACAGGATACAATGACAGCACTAAAATATCAAAAGAGGTGAGTGAGCCTACAACTTGGTATGACATTTGACATGGTCTATGAGCTGTCTAATATTGGATATTGTCTTCATTTCCATGGGTAGCTTGAGCCAATATGAATAGGCAGAAAAGATAGGGGATTTGGTAAACATAGTTGGCATTGCGAGTGTCCCGTGCGAAAGTAAACCACTTGTACTTGCTGAGATGTTCAGGAACAATGTTCAGGTTAATACGATGGACCAGAACGCATGACTGTCTCTGGAACAGGATAGAGATTATGGTAATAATACTATCTTTCTGGACACACACGTTTGGCTTTTGAATGTGCTGACAAATTGCTTCCAAAACCTTTAACTGCAACAGATAACCATGACGAGCACGGCACAAAAGAGAAAAAGGAATCAGAATAAGTACGGCAGCAGTCGGTACTAGAGACCAAAATTAATGATTGTACACTGAAGATTTGGTATTACGAAACTTACGCACACAGTCTCGACTCCCGCACACACCCTCACACTCGCTCTCATCCGATCCCAGCTCACCTTCTCCTTCACTACTCGAAGAGTGTTGTACGAAAACTTGTTCGAATCGTCCTTTTTCAATCGCTGTTTTTCTTCTTGCATGTGTTTTTCCTTAACTTTTAGATTGTTTTCGCATCGTCTCCATCGCTTACATTGTTTAATAAAGTAATCCAAATATCACTTCAGCTCGTCCTCCTTATTACCATATTAAAATTGTTGTCTCCTCGTCGAATATTATAATAATATATCAATCCTCTATTTTTTGCTCCACAGAGATACCGATAGTTGAAGCCACGCCACAAATTATATATAGTGCTGGTAGTCAAATCATCACAGCATGTTTTTTGAAAACTCAATATCCTCATCCCACGGCTGCGGAGGTCACTTGGACCAACCCTCAGTTAACAGGTTTAATCACGTATAAATCCCTTGGAACTGGAAATTCAACATGTCTCACTGCAACGTTAACATTGTCCGGTATGCTTCGTGAGGCATCCGGTAATTACACAGTAACTGCAAGCACAGCTGGTGGAAGTGCCAGCACTACCATCACAGTGTCTGTTCTCTGTAAGTGAAACTTAACAGTTTCCATCCTTATGTGTGGAGATTACAGTGTTTTACATCAATGCTATTGGGATCTACGTGACTGTGGATGTGTACAGGAGCACGTGTTTGTATGCATGTGTGAGTGTGTATGTGTGTGTGAGTGTGTATGTATTAATTTTGTGAGTGTGTATGTATGTGTGTGTGTGTGTGTATGCATGTGTGAGTGTGTATGTATGTGTGTGTGCATTTACGTGTGAGGGTGTGTGTGTGCATTTACGTGTGAGTGTGTGTGTGTGCGTGTGTGTGTGCGTGTGTGCGTGTGCATGTACGTGTGTGCGTGTGTGAGAGTGTGTGTGTCCTGACTTTCTTTCATAATCCTGGGTGGTTACCAACAGCCAGTGCATGCCGGAATATGTGGTCTGATAAGTGCACGGGTAAAAAAAGTGAGGGATACGCTGGCCAGAAAAAGCCACTTCAAATAGCTGTGTGCTGTAGACCAGTCTGATTAGTGGCGGTCAATTCTCCAGCCTTGCAAGCTCTTGAATGGTGCAATCCTACCACAAGTAGCAATGGCTCCCCCCCCCCCTCCCCGGCCATGGGAGTCAAAATGTCGTCTAACATTTTGACTCCCATCGCCAGGGGAGGGGGGGGGGGAGCCATTGCTACTTGTGGTGGGATTGCACCATTCAGAAGCTTGCAAGGCTGAAGAATTGACCGCCACTAATCAGCCTGGTCTACAGCACACAGCTATTTGAAGTGGCTTTTTCTGGCCAGCGTGTCCCTCACTTTTTTTACCCGTGCACTTATCAGACCACATATTCTGGCATGCACTGGTTGTTGGTAACCGATGGGCACTTGAGTCGAGTGAATGCGACGAAAACTGAACTCTCTGCTCATTCCGCCAACACTTTGTCTTGTAAAGATGCTATACATAGGCTGAACTACCATCGTCCCGTGATTTTCAGTCGATACACACTGTTCTTGAGCTGTTCTGAGCGTTTTCCTATCCATCAAAATCCATCACGAAGTTTTTGTTAACGGATGAAGTACAATCCCCAAAAACTAATGCCTGTGCATATCAACATGATTAATAGGCAAACCTACTCCTCGCAACGACTATCCTGTATGATGTACTGGGTTACCATTCTTTTCTTTCTCACTTGCACAGCTCCGCCAATTATCACCTACCCTGAAGACAACTCCATCATACATGTGAAGGAAGGAACTAATTTTAGTATTGACTGTGATGCTAATGGAAATCCGGCGCCAGCATTGAAGATTCTGGATGCAAATAGAACAGAACTTAAAAATCTATCTGCAGGGACGGTGATAAATGATTTGAAAAAAGTAACCCTCCGTCATACATTTCAGAACATTAACCGTAACAAATCGGCTGTATATACATGCACAGCTGAAAATCACCAAGTGAATTCATCCCTTAATACATCAGTCGAAGTTGACGTACAATGTAAGTTTGTTTTTGTTTTTTAGTGCAGTGTGGCACGAGATGATGATGATTATGATGTTGTGTGCTCTATATCAACACATTACACTCACTCACGCTTACCTCCTCCCCCCGCCAGCACACCTTGGGACCTTTGGATGCCCATTGCTCCGTGCAATGATAGCATCAGGAGTTGCAGTATTTCCTGTGGCGAGTTGAATCGTTGGGCCAACGGAAGTTGGTTGGTTGGTTGGTTGGATTTATTTAAAGTCGTACAACAAACAGGCATATCTGCCTCCTTATATGAAGACGACTCCTGGCAGTAAAACATTTTAAAGAAAAGAGAAAGGAAAAAAAAAAGAAGAAGAAGAGAAGATCAAGAATGCATCCTGAGCATACAGCTAGAGACTGACTGAGAGACTGAGAGACTGAGCACAGCTAGCCTAAGCATGAATCAAAGCATCAGGATTACTACATACTACTAGTACTATTCTCAAGATAGGGGAGGGGGGTTGCTGTCATGCTACAGTAAGACAATACGCGTGCAACACACCCTTGAACTAGAGGGGGGGGACATGATGTTTCTCGCATCAGGTGGAAGACTGTTCCAAACGCGTGCAGCAGAAAGAGACACGGGATGAGTTCTGGATGGAAGCTGCAGCAGAAGTTGTTGGGAGCCGCGCGTTTGGCCAGCCCTAGTCGGAGTGACGAAATCTCCGAATAATGCGCTGATCAGCGGCTGCTCCATGGTGGAATGTAGGCACCGGTAGACCAGCGAGCACACTGTTTCACGCAAGAGCTGGTGTACACGAAGCAGGTTGTGTTCCGCATACACGGGAGTCATACGGGTACGGGAGGTAAGGTTGTATACGGCTCGCAGGGCTAGGTTGCATAGGCGTTGAAGTCTCTCTTCATTAGCCTTGGAGAGAGAGAGCTAAAGAAAGCTGAGCATCCATAGCGGATCCTGGACTCTACCATGGACGTGTACGCCATTCGCTTCGACTGCAGAGAGAGACACTTCCGATTTCTCCACAGTGCTCCTATAACCTGTCGAGACGTTTTACAGATATGCGTAACGTGGCTATTCCAAGTCAGGCGATCGTCTACAATCAAGCCTAGGTACTTGGTCTGCGACACAACAGGGAGTACAGCGCCATCGCATATCACAGGCGGCAAGGGATCAAGGGTGCTCCGGGGAGCAATGTGCAGCACACAGGTCTTGGTGGCGTTGAGGCTCAAACCGCGTCCATTGAGCCAGACGGCGAGACGCGTACATGCGACACTAAGCTTAGAGCTGATGTCTGCACGGCTGGATGATGATGTATCTAAAGTGATATCATCGGCGAATTCCTGGTGACAAATACCAGGCGGTAGATGAGAGTCGATGGAACTGATGTAAACAGAAAAAAGAAACGGGCCGAGAACGCTACCTTGCGGTACACCACTGAAACACTCCGAGTAGCATGACGATGAAGAACCAACTTTAACGCGTTGTTTCCGACCCGACAAATAGCTGGCAAACCAGGCCAGAGCAGTGCCACGTACACCCTTTCCGTGAAGATCATCCAACAGCGTTTGGTGGCGAACCTTATCAAACGCTTTAGACATATCGGCAAACACAATGGACCAGTGGACTGTTTCCGGGCCCTAGCTGTGCTCCATCGATGTACGGCCAGTGTCAGCGCGTCCTCCGTGGAATGATGGCGACGGTAGGCAAACTGAGTTTCCGGAAGAAGATTCTCGGACTCGAAGTATCGAACAACTTCACGGTGGATTGCACGTTCTAGGAGGCGTGATACAGTAGGAAGGAGACTTATTGGTCGATAGTTGGTCGGTAGTTCAGGATCACCGCCTTTGAAAAGTGGCATGACATTGGCCTGCTTAAACATTGCTGGGACTTTAGCAGTCTGAAAGGAAACATTAAAGATGCGGGTCAATGACGGTGCAAGCATGGAAGAGCACTTCTTCAGGACCAGGTTTGGTATGTCGTCATGTCCAGTTGCCTTGTGCTGGTCGACCCGAGAAAGCATCCGCTCAACAAAGTGGACGGTTAGAGGCGTGAAGCGGGCAAAGTGGGACTCCTGTACCTGTGTGGTGGCATGTGAATTCAAGTTTGAAGGTCGCTGGGGATCATAGAGAACGCTCGAAAACGAATCTTGCAGATCCTGAACAGGGATGCCAGGAGCATGATGAATAACACGGCGACCGGTTACCGTATTCAGTGTGCGCCACAAGCCTCGGGTATCAGCCGCGTGTAATCCACATTGATCGCGAAAGTACTGATTTCTTAGTTTCCGGTCCAAGCGACGACAAATGGAGCGTTGATCTTGATGTTTCTTGCGAAGCTCAGCATCCGCCGGATTACGCTTCAGACTTTGATGGAACCTGTTTCGTGCTCGAACTGCCTGCTGGAGTTCTGGAGTCAGCCAAGGGCAAGGAAGTCGCCGCCGTTTGGAAAGCGTCTCCGGGGCATGGAGGTCGAGGACTGCCTTCAGCTTCGTGTACCATTCTTCCACCATCGAGTCGCAATCACTCGTGTAAAACTGTTAATGCCGAAGGCCTGAAGATCGGAACTGAACTGCGTCCAATCTATTCTTCGAAGGTGCCTTGACATTTTTGGATTTGGGGCCGAAGAGAGAACTGCTGGCTTGAGATGACTTGAGACAGCAGCATGATCGCTGACGTCAATCGCAATGACTTCACAGGACACTACCTTGTCGGGAGGAGAAATAACTAAATCCAACGCCGTGGCGGAGTGGGACGTGACTCTAGTTGGAGCAGTTATCATGTTGGTAAGATTATAACTGTCCAATACTTGCTGGAATGACCGTAGGGTGGTTGAGTGACCCAGCATGTCGACGTTGAAGTCGTCCATGACAATGAATCTATCCTCCACTTGACAGGTCATGCTCTCTATAGTGTCCTCGAAGGCTCTCCAGAAGTCCGCCGTTGCAGAAGGTGGGCGATACATGCAGTTTAAGAGCACCCGATCTTTGCGTGTGGTGCGTAGGGCTATACATATGTTTTCTATGTCGGTATGTTCGGCTTCTCTGTGGCGACTGACTATGAGGCTCTCCTTGGGGTAAAACGCAACACCGCCACCCATGCCGGTTGATCGATCGTGCCTTAGAAGGGAATAGCCAGGTATATGTAGCTCTCCGTCGCTAATTGTCTCATTGAGCCAGGTTTCAGCGATACCAAGGACAGCAATGTTCCGCGTCTCCAGGAAGCTGCGGATTTCGCGCGTTTTACGTCGTAAGCTACAAATGTTAATGAACGCTGCAGTGATGCATCCAGAGACTCGGGTGTGTTGCACGGGGTTCTGCGGGTAAGTAGGGATTTGATGGCCAGTACTGAAAGGAGCAGAATTTATGTGAGAGGGAGTGAAAGGCTGTGCATGCGGATTTAACACTGACATCATAAAAAGGAGAAGAAAGTAAAACGAACCTTTAAGAAAATACTTGTGGGCACTGTTACGAAAGACAGACCAGGGCAGAGAACATACATAGTTGCACATGTAAAAGGACATTGGAATATGCAATGAATTTTGTGCCACACAACTGTTCATGCGCTGGATTTCCTGGAGCGCTGTGCTGCAACTTTGGCTGCATGCTTGGCCAATTCTCGCCTGCTGGCCTCATTCGCCCATTCCACCTGTGGGTCCTGCTGCTCGAAACTATTTCCCAGGGGCAATGCAGATGGCTTGAATGCGTGATGGCCAAAGGCAACTTTGTACTCCTGCGAGTCCTCATCTGGAGAGTGACCTGATTTCCCTCGGAAATGCTGCATGGGTGTTGTTGATACTGTGATGGTGTGTTGAATGTCTGGTGGAGAAGAGTCAGTGTTCTCTTCAGTTGGTGCCATGTTGTCGCTCGAGTGCTTTCCACAGGAATCTGTGCTGCTACTTTCTCTTGATTTGGTAGCAGCTTGCGCGTAGCTCATACTCGTAGGTGCGTTTTCCCGGGAGTGTTCATCATGCTGCACATGCACTGATCCTGCAGCTGCAACCTCTTGATTATGCGTATTTTGAGGGTCTGCTGCTGACCTGTTCACTTCGGTGCATCCCGTACTTGTTGACAGACAAGCTGGAGGTTTTCGGCGCGGGCATTCACTGGCTTTATGGCCTGGTGCTGCGCAACGGAAGCATGTCTGGGGTTGCCCTTTGTACCAGATGCGTAGGGGGGTCTGACCCACGCGAACAAGAGACGGAACTGGCTTTCGCAATGTCACCTTCAAGAAGCGAGTACCGGTTTCACCTGAGAACCCTTCGTGCAGGATTTTTTTCCTAGCAGGAGACCCGTGAATCGTTGCACACTGGCTTATGGCCGAAGACAATGCACCGTCATGCAGGTGATACGGACAGCCAAACACATGCAAGCTAATGAGCTCGGTGTCTCCAATGACAATATCTACTGCATTACCAGCAATTTTGAAAGACGTGGACACAAGGTGATCCCTGGCGGCAGCATGCTTGAGGGTGACAGTGCACCAGCCTGGTCTGCCATGCGGGTCCACTTGCTGAAGTTCGTCGGGCTTGACTCCATTTCTAGCTAGTTCCTTAATGAAGAATACATGATCGATCTCCCAAAGAGGATCAAGTTGAAAGGAAAAAGTGATGCGAGGCGGAGCTCCAAAAGTGCTCCCGCCCGCCATCCTGAAAAAAAAACAAAAAAATGCTTCGAAGTCCCTGCCACAACCGCAAATGAACACTATAGGCTTTTGTACAGCTGGTCGGGGACGATTGCACATGAGGCGCCAGTCTCGTCTGTCCTGCGCCAAGTCGCACCAGTCACCTGTCATGCACCGAGCACTCAGATCAGCAGCAGCGATGTCCCTCCAACGTTTCTTGGGACCGTGTCTGGGCCTTGTGTTGAGTCCCTCAGCAAACAGAACGCACTTGGGGAGACGGGAATCCTCCATTCTCCCAAGGTGGCCAAGCCAGCATAAACGGTGAGAGCGTACGACCTACGCCATTTACGACGGCATACCAAAATACCCCAGCACACACACACACACACACACACACACACACACACACACACACACACACACACACACACACACACACACACACACACACACACACACACACACACACACACACACACACACACACACACACACACATACCCACACACAAACAGACACACACGCACACACACACACACACACACACACACATGTACACGTGCACACAGCCATGCTCACACATAGGCACACACACGCACACATGCACACACACACACACACACACACACACACACACACACACACACACATCATACGAAAGCGCATCTCACACCTTAGCAGGAAGAGCGCTCTGCTACGGTAAACTATGTCCACTTTCCTGGTTTCAAAATCTCTTTGGGCACTAGCTACGAGCTAGCTCGTAGTGAGGATTATGATGTTGGTTATTTTATTTCGCAAATCCAAACCGTAGTTTCTTCCGAATAACAAGGTAGCAAAGAACATACCATTGCAGGAACCAAATGCACTTCTGGCGGTGTTTTAAGCCATCATTTCCACATCGCGCAAAGGCAAGGGTTTTTCTCGAGCACTTTTCAACAAGTTAGCAGCAACTTCGTTGCTGTAGATTCTGTGACATCCTCCTTGTTCTTCTTGCTCCTGCAATACTGCAACAAGTCAAGTCGTTGAGTGATGCTTCGTCAGAACAATCCTACAATTTCAGTGAATCCCCGTTGCGTTTATCGTGGCACTGCAGATATTTCATGATTTGAAAACCAGATAAATTCTACGGCATTACAACATGGGGAGAACGAACAGATCCGAAGACGACTCCTTTATCGAATGGAAGAAAATCTCGGCAGACGTTATTCTTTGATGCAAGATAATGACAATCACTTTAGCAGAGCCTCCTGGTAGTACATAAGCAGTTTGTAGGCATTACAGTCGTTTTCGCACCCATTCAACCTTTATGACAGTTTGGTACAACTGTATTACCCTGACAAAGACGAAAATAGCATGGACCCGCTGAGGTGGGCGTTTGCTGCGAAGTGGGCGTTTGCTGCGAAGTGGGCGTTTGCTGCGAAGTGGGCGTTTGCTGCGAAGTGGGCGTTTGCTGCGAAGTGGGCGTTTGCTGCGAAGTGGGCGTTTGCTGCGAAGTGGGCGTTTGCTGCGAAGTGGGCGTTTGCTGCGAAGTGGGCGTTTGTTGCAAAGTGGGCGTTTGCTGCGAAGTGGGCGTTTGCTGCGAAGTGGGCGTTTGCTGCAAAGTGGGCGTTTGCTGCGAAGTGGGCGTTTGCTGCGAAGTGGGCGTTTGCTGCGAAGTGGGCGTTTGCTGCAAAGTGGGCGTTTGCTGCAAAGTGGGCGTTTGCTGCGAAGTGGGCGTTTGCTGCGAAGTGGGCGTTTGCTGCGAAGTGGGCGTTTGCTGCGAAGTGGGCGTTTGCTGCGAAGTGGGCGTTTGCTGCGAAGTGGGCCTTTTCAGTGGACTTTACAGTAGTTCCAAGTACATCCTGTGGTCGTGATTAACAGGGCGGGCACTGAGTGCCTGTGCTACCAAACTGGAATTGTTCTACTGCTACGGTGACAAGTTTGGTGTTACGTGACCAGTCTTAGCTATAACCAACAATGCTACAGCCATGTGAATGGCACTTAGAGTAATAGCGGGGAGTAGTAAGAACAGAGCAGAGCAATGGCAAAAGACACCAGTTGCCAGGGTAGTAGCGAAAGCCTGAAACACCAGCAAAGAGCCAAAACCCAATCCACACATGACGTCACATGCGCATGTGTTTATTTGTTTGTTTGAAGTTTTATTTTACATCGCAAACCAACCGGGCATTGATGCCCAATAATTATTATGATGGCGATAGAATAAAAAGTGTGGCTCGATAAAGCTGCACTTGAGAAAATGAGAAAACAGTCAATAGGAAGTATTTGTACCGGTAATTACAAGTCAAGTTTGAACGAATTAACAATCAGAGAGAAATAGGAAGATGAGGACCTATGCCAGAGGGAGGTACTATTCGGCCATATTAACCGTAGAAGAACACTTTCAGGAATCTTTTAAACGGGGTTGGACGACGAGTGGACGTGAGTTCCTGTGGCAGGGTGTTCCAAAGCTTCACGGCGGAAACCAATGGTCGGCTGTCGCCAGATGTTCGCCAAGTTAGCGGAACAACGTACTTGCAGTTGTCATTGCCACGGGTGTTACTGGGAGGTTGGAGGGCTACTCTATCTTTCAGAAGAGGGCTGATGCTGCTGGTGTGGACACGGTGCATAAGGAAACGGAGTTTGCATTTGGCACGTTCAATTACAGGGGTCAGGGAAAGGCGATTGTATATAGGAGTGGTATGGGACTGGAAGGGCAGATTGGCTACGCAGCGAACACATCGCTTGTCGAGGACAGTGAGCTGGTGCCGCTGCTGAGCCGTAAGTGCTGAGAAGAACAGGTTTGATCCATAAAGTATGTCAGGAAGTATAAGGGCAGAATAGAACAGAAGTGACTGGCGTTCAGATAGCGACGAGCGGATAGTTCTCAGGGTGGTTAGCTTCTGGGAATTTTTACGTACTATGCTGGAGACCTGCGAGTCCCACCAAAGAGAGGAATCGATCTGTAGGCCCAGAAAGCGAGCAGTGGTGGTCTGGGTGAGAGGCGTCCCATTGCAGTTAACGTTGAGTTCCAGGGTACTACGGCGTGATGCCTCAATGGCTAACACCTGTGTCTTGTCAGGGTTTAAAACCAGGCCTTTTCCGTGTAATTAGTCAGCCAAGTTTGACACAGCAACTGATAAGACTTGATTAAGGGTTGCTACGGATCTGCTTGCGGTGTCGAGTAGGATGTCATCCGCAAACAGCTGGGAGTGTGCTGGGCTGGTGACGCTATGGACGTCCATGGTATATAGCGAAAATAGCAAAGGACCCAGTACACTACCCTGAAGGACTCCACACTCGCATGCAGTTAGGCCCGAGCACTGCGCACTCGCCACAACTACTCTCTGTCGACGGTCCGTGAAGTAGCTCGCAAACCAACGCAATGCAGTCAAAGATACACCCAAAGCAAACAAATCTTGGATAATGAGCTGGTGCCGTACTTTATCGAATGTCTTGCTCATGTCCACTAGTACTGCGCCAGTATGTAGCTGGTGGTCTGCTGACGACAGATAGCGGTCCATGGCCAAGGTCAAGGCATCTTCCGTGGAGTGTTGTGTGGGGCACACATAGAACAGATGTGTACATGAACGCAGTACACGTGATACGTTGTTCTAAAGCAATCATTCAATTACCAGACTCAAACAGCCAGTAATTTTCCGTGTACTTCTTGTATAGATCCTCCGGAGAACTGCTCATTTGCCAGCAGCAGACAACTGGTCTACATTCCCTTGCACAACCAATCAATTCAAATTTCTTGTGAGTGCGGCGCACATCCAGTGCCCTCTTACCATCATACAGTTGAGAAATTGTATGGCCCATTGCTCCAGCGAAAAGTGACCAATAATGTTACGATGGCCAAGTATCAATACAGCATTGATGTAGACCCTGTCAGTGCTGGTAAGTATCAATGCAGAGTTTCAAACAACGCATCTACCACGGCTGAAGAATACAATTCCAATTTTACTTTAGAAATTTTTGGTGAGTATGGACATATTATGTTCCTGGTCAGATGTGAGTTTGTGTGTGTATGTGTGTATGTGTTTGTGTGTGTGTGTGTGTGTGTTTGTGTGTGTGTGTGTGTGTGTGTATTATGTCTCCTTTATGTCTCCTTTATTCACTCCTATCGAAGGCAATAAGCCAGTTGATAAGCCAGGGGATGTTGTTGTGGGTGGGTGGGTGCATGCGTGTGTGTGTGGGGGGGGGGGGTCATGGTTGTACGTGGGTGTGTGGGTGGGTAGGTAGGTGTACATGCGCAGGTACTGTTGGTCAGGTGTGTGTGTGTGTTTGTGTGTGTGTGTGTTTGTGTGTGTGTGTGTGTGTGTCTGGTATGAAGTGGCCACCTCTTCTCGCTGCAAATGGCGCAAGGCTTACCGTTGTGTGCCAGACAAGCGGAACAGACCTCGACCATCACCGGTTGCGTTCCAAACCTTTCACCGCTCCTTCAGTCGTGTAAGTGACAGGAAGCGACACAAGTGTACAGCTACGCGTGCCCTACCCGTAAGCCAACAGCCAGGAAGTTGTCACCGCGACCAGTGCGACAGATGGTTCAGGAGCAAGGGTGGATTTGCCTGAGACAAGTGCTCGCCAGCAACATCACCAGCAGAGGCATCTTCTGACACACTTGAGTCACCGGTGACGAACAATGTGTCCTGCGAACGCTGCAGCTTCCACTGCGCCCGCTGCAACCGCTGCGTGCTATCGCGCCAAGGCATATAGCGTCACAAGTGCAGCTGTGGCTCGGCCAGAGCAACCGACACAGACCGTTGCTCCTTCTGCATCGTTTGCAATTGCGGTCGGCGTTTCAGTAGACCACAGGACCTATCCCGTCATCGCCCCTACTTTTTCAAACCTGCTCCACCCCCCATGGGGTCCGCATAGCCAGAATATGGCAGCGCGTCCAAGGTCCAATGTGTGTGTGTGTGTGTGTGCGAGCGCGCGCGTGCGTGTATGTGTAACTGTCTTGGCCATCCTATTCCGATGTACTCCATGTGGCGTAGACCAGGTGTACATTGGGTGGTCGATTCACCTGGCTTCGCCAGTTGTGTGGATTAGACAGTTATCTGGTGCTTGTCTTGATCTGTTTCATTCATAATCAGATCCGCTATCGTTGCTACAAAGAGAAAATCTGTGGGTGCAATCTCGTGCATTTGCAGATTTGCGTGCTACTTTTGCGACGGGCGTATACATGGTACATGGTACATGTGTGTGTGGAGAGGGGGGGGGGGGGGGGTGCGGTGGTGCATGCGTGCATTTGCGTGTTTGTAAATTATATTTATTGGTTTATAGAACACATTTCTATACGGGTGTTCTCTCCATTTTTTCTTATTTTTTCTCTTTCCCTCTGTGTGTGTGGGTGGGCTTGTCTGTGTATGTATGTGTGTCTGCATGTGTGTGTGTGTGGATATGGGTGTCTGCTCGTGTGGGTGCATCCGTGTGTATGTGTGCTCGTGTATGTGCTTGTGTGTGTGTGTGTGTGTGTGTGTGCGCGCGGGCGCGCGCACGGGCGCATGCCCATATGTGCTTGTATGTGTGGGTGTGCATGTACATGCATGTTTGTGCAGCTGCTCCGCACATGTCATTCAGTAACAACTCAGTCGCTGAGGGCAATAACATCACGGTGAACTGTACTGTTCTCGGCTTCCCTGCGCCACGTGGCATCATTTGGAGATTTCCCAACAGAACCATTGTCCCTGACAATTATAAAACCAACGCTTCTATCGTAGAAGAAGTGAAGCTAGATGAGATTCTGGGATTGTACAAAGCGGTCACATCGCTGACCATCACAGACGCGTCTGCGTCGGATAATCTTGCTTACACATGCGAGGCACACAATGGAATCACAACACGCAATAGGGACATTGTATTCCATGGCCACAGTGACTCAACGGCTACAGCCACAGTAGCTATTGATGTCCATGGTGAGTGACTATGTCCGCCTATACCTGCCTTCACCTCTGCCACTGCAACAAATCTTCGATATCGACACACTGACTGTTGTAGGGTACAAAAGACATGAGGTGTTTCTTTGTACGGTCAAAATTGAGCATAAAGGCACCCTGTACTTCAAGACCAATACTCGGGCAATTTTGACTTGGAAAGAAAACAGAGATGAATTTGATGACCAAGATCGAAACTTAAATTAGCAACAAAGCTGGCCAATACAATTTTTCAAAAGTAAATTACATCTGAGAAATGTAAAGCAATGTTTTAACCCATTCACTGCTGAGCCTGTGCTCTTGTGTGATTATACGTCCTGAGCGTACATCACGAATTGACGATAATTCACAAGACAAGGGCGTGTTCAAATGATAAACACTTCTCAAAATCTTACTCGCTTTTCATAGAAGAAAATGTTAGGTCAAAGAGCAAGTTCTCACTAACTAATAGCTATGACAATTTTGAATACTGCAGACATCACCACGCAACATGACAATTTTGAATACTGCAGACATCACCACGCAACATGACAATTTTGAATACTGCAGACATCACCAAGCAACATGACAATTTTGAATACTGCAGACGTCACCACGCAACATGACAATTTTGAATACTGCAGACATCACCACGCAACATGACAATTTTGAATACTGCAGACGTCACCACGCAACATGACAATTTTGAATACTGCAGACATCACCACGCAACATGACAATTTTGAATACTGCAGACATTGTTAGAGCTTTGAAATGGTGTTTTCTGTTTTAGCTGGAAAATCAATTCTGGAAACACACAATTTCAAACATCTAACAAATTGTCATGTTGCGAGATGATGTTTTTCGTCAGGCGAAATAGCACGTCATAGTACATTTGAGATCAGCGGGAAGAAGATGACGACGTCCACTAATTTAGTATCTGTGCACACGAATCTGCTGTGTGTGTGACTCTGTGTGTCAGCTATGATATCATCTTCTGTGGTTCCATGCCTAGCATGTACGTCTGAACCATCCTGCAAAGTTTGAATGACGTAGGCTGAGCGATCGCTCCGCAAAACATACTTTTTGAAATTCCCTTCATAGTATATCTTCCACCATTGAAATTTCGAATTTCTTTAAAAAAAGTGCTGAGAGGAGTGGCTTGGAACCTCGATATGGCTTGTTCCAGACATGCTTTGGAGCCATCTTCTGTTGAAGTAGTGGCGGTGATCTGCCCTGCAACTACTACAACAAAAAAAGATTCGATCTGAGAAAGGGTGAGACCGCGAATCTCGGTTGAATATTGAGTATTTCAAGCCTTTTCACGACGACGATGGAGTTCTTTTTGGAGATGGACGTCGCGGCAAAGGACATGGTGTCCGACTTCTGGCGTCTGGTGAAGCCAGGGATCATTGGTCTAGTCAGGTCGGCAGCCTAACCGTCGGTAAGCTTTTGTTTGGATCCCGTTCTGCTCGATGTGGTAGATCACAAACAATTTGATATCGCACAAATTGATCTCAGCATCGTGCGTACGGTATTTTATATTCAGAAAATCCCAAAGTGTCTCTGTGTGGCCGCCCTATGCCACGAGAAACTCCAATCAGGCTCCTATGTCCTCTGCCTTCATGATTGAATGTCCACTTCGTTTGAACAACGAACACAACAATCGAGGACGGGTTTGCAATGAAAAATACAGCTATACTGGAGCTGAAAAAAGAAAGAAAAAAACGTGCTCAGGATGAGACTCGAGTACACGCGCACTCTCCCAGCAGGTGAAACGCAATTTTTTGTGAAAAATGCGTGTCGCCGACTGACCAGTAATTTCGCCTGACGTTTTACATCGTTTTACTTCGAATAATCAAAACGGGAATTTCTTCCCAAGGTAGCGAAGGGAGGGGGGGGGGGGGGAGAAAGAAAGAGAAAAAAAGTGTGTATGCACTGGAAATGATAGTCAGCTGGAGGTCAATAGTACGGATCCATTGTCAAAACAGGAGCAACTAGCTTCATCACTAGTACCGCTGAAGTCGCAACTCCTAACTTCGCAGATTATTTGTTTACAGAAAGCTCTCAGTGATTGCAACAGTTGCCGTCCCAATATTGCAACCACTACAGTAGGATCAGCAGTATCATGTGACGATATTCCACGGATGATGGTCACGAAAAAACGTTTGGGAATTTTTTTCATCTTAATAATGTGCACTCATAACCACGTGTAAAACAGACTATTGTCTTCTCGTCGGTTATTTACTTACAGTAGGATCAATGAACATTTGGGTTAGTGCACTCGGCAGACACACAGATCCAGAAGAGCTCCAAGACCTTTTTTGGGCATTGCGTGGGCACTTGAGTATCCTTTTTCTGCGCTATTTGCCCCTTGATGCCATGACAAGTTTGGGTCAAAGAGTTTCTTTTGTGTCCAGAGTTAGTTGTCATGCCTGCAAGCCCCACAGTCTCCATTGCTCCTATTTAAATAATGTCTCTCCACACAGCGTGTCCATCTATTCTTTGAACGAAGACTCAATATCTTCTTACTGGGATGTATTGCCTGTGATGTCCATAGGTGACACAAGTTTGCACATGGACTTGCCGAGAGCACTGTCCTACCATGTCATGGAGGAAGTTGTAGTCAAGTGCACTGTAGCCGGTAATCCTCTGCCGACCATCGAGTGGTTCAGCACAGCATCTACCTTCAACAACAAAACACAAACCGTCCAGAATGGCAACATCACCAAGGACAGGAATGAGACTGCCAAGGTGGCCTACAGCGTGCTACATATTCACAACGTATCTCTCGCAGACGCTGGTCTCTACTGGTGTTCCCATGCTAACACTGTGCACCGGAACGAGTCATCACAGCTCAATCTCACCGTCTTCGGTAAGTGTTGGTTTGCACTTTCGCAGAAGAAGCAACCACTTTGTTCTTTACTTGTATTACCGACTTCTTGCCTAACCTTCACATCGTTTATATCATGACCAATATGCCCTGGGTACAAGTCACTTTTGCCATTGCTGATATTGCCCCGACTAGAGTGTGTGTGGCCATTTTGACGATTTTTTTAAACAGTTGAACATATGCAACGCACTGGACATAGTCTTGCATTTGTGTGCGCCTACAGGCTGCCTGTGCCCCAGAAGCTTCCCTTTTGCGCCACGGGGTGCAGTCGAAGCACCTGTATCACTTCGGTGATTCAAATGCGAATGCAGCCTTGCCAGTCACCCGCCAACGTGCCGCATACGCGACCATCCTGAGACTGGCCCTGCCGCATTTGGCACTTCTAAAAAAGCTGCGATCCTGTAGACAGCACGCTGGAGTACCAAATACGTGACTGGCTTGAGGACAGTTCCATACTGCATGACAGGGCACCCAGCTCAGGTCGCACATGGCTACGGCGTGAGCTGGGCGCGGTGAGGGTTGGTGATAACTGAAACTTCCATTTGCATTTGAAGCAACATGGAACGGCTGTCCAAGTAAACATGAAGCTCTGTGTCAGGTTTGTAATAAACTGTAGCTTAACCATTCTATCGTTGTTTTTTTTGCCAATTTCCGTTTTTCTTCATGATTCCTGCAGCATCGCCGAGCAACACTCGTATTTCTCCAACAATAACAGTTAATGAGTCAGCCAATGTTGTAATTGAGTGTGAATACCATGGTTATCCACAGCCCGCTATCACGTGGCATACTCCATCTGAGGAACTGCAGAACTCTTCGGACGTCAACTTTGCGGCAGGTGCACCTGTCACCCTGGCCAGCGGTATGATATCCGTCAGATCGAACCTCTCTTTGACTAATGTCACCAGAAACAACTTGCTGAACTACACCTGTGTCGCTCACAATGGCGTTGGTAACCGGCTGGCCGCAGACTATACCGGTCCTCTTGTGTCTTCTACATATTCGTCCTCGGCCACTGTCAGCTTGAATGTCCTCTGTAAGTCATTGGTATGACACATTTGAGTGGGCTTTGTCCACGCGCATTGCGTTGTCACTTTACGGCAGCTTGCTTGAGCTAGCACCATCACCATCCCCATTTTGGCCCAACTACGTCTTTTCATTTACAAGTACCTTGGAGGGGTGCCACTCCCAGAGCAAACTTTCTACTTGTCACTCCCGGGGCTAACTTCCCATTTAGGGGTCACACTAGTCACTCCCAGGGCAAACTTCCCATGGAGGTGATAGCACTTGTCACTCCCCGAGTAGTTTCAAGGCAACCTGGTAACATGCCTGGCCACGCTTGCTCTGTGCATGCACTTCAAAATACTGTAAGACCATAATAATTATGTTTTTACGCCGTCTGAAGTTAACCATCTCTGTGTTTCTTTTTCTTGATTATCGACATGAAATTTTAGAGAATTCTGGATGTCAAAACCGGCAAACGACTCTGGGCACATCCTTTTTTTTTAACGATAACCAATTGAAAATTTAACCAATAAGTTACGAGTTATGACAAACAGTCCATCAATGTAACGAGATATTATACAGTAAGATAGTGCAAGAAAAAGGCACAAACTGACAGGCATATTGAGACATCCAATGACCTGACAGCTAGCTCCAACACATCTACAAAGTGCAAACCAAGAACCTTCCACAGGGCCGTCGGAGGCTGTTGGCAAGTGGTATGGCCGGGGGGCGCGGGGGTGTCCGCCGGCGAGGGTCAAGGGGGCAAAGCCCTTTGCGGGGGTGCGGGGTGTCCCCCGGCGGGGGTCAATGGGGCAAAGCCCTTTGCGGGGGTGCGGAGTGTCCCCCGGCGGGGGTCAAGGGGGCAAAGCCCTTTGCGGGGTCAAGGGGTGTCCCCCGGCGGGGGTCAAGGGGGCAAAGCCCTTTGCGGGGGTGCGGGGTGTCCCCCGGCGGGGGTCAAGGGTGTTAGAATAGTGTTTGGGATCCGATGCAATAGAAAACACCCGTTATGCATATCTTGAACATTGTGGAGCAAGTCCAGCATTCTGCAACTTCTGCCAAATTTACCATGAATCGTGCCACAGCACAAAATAGTAATAGGTCATACAGCAAAGCAGATGCTAGTTGAGAAAATTATTTATAACAATCAAAATGGGTGGCATCACAACACAGCTGGGTTATAGATTGATGTCTGCCTTAGGATTAACAAATTGCACTGCAACATGGATATTGAAGTTGCACTGCAGCACGGATAATGAAACATTGTGTGAGATAGCGCAACACAGAAGTCTGTGAACATGCGGCACAGAGGCTCAGTGCACTCAAAGTTACCGAAACTTGCCAAACACTTGGGACCTGTGGTCATTGCCTCGGACAAAGTCCTCAGCAAGGTCCACCACGTCGAGTGAGTCGCACTCATCCCTCATAACATGCACCAGTGCACAGTGATTGAGCTGTTCTTGCATCATCATGGATCTAATGTAGGTCTTGAGCCGACGAAGAGCAGAGAAAGAACGTTCGCTGGTTGCATTGGTTGCGTGTATCACCAGTACCAGCTTTACCAGGGTGACGACTTCGCTCATGAATGTGTCTCAGCTGGCCTGAGATTTCAAGTATTCCACAACGTCCTTCAATGACAGACTGCTACCAGCAGTGGCAACGAAGTGTGCTCTTAAAACATGGAGCTGGCTGCGGAGGACAGGCACATTGAAATCCTCACCCAGATCTCCTCCACTTTGACAGCTTGCTGCTCAATCTCTTGGCCAGATGCAGCATTGAGGAGCAGACTTTCCAGAAGAAGGTAGCTTTTCAAGACTTCTTTTTTAAATCTCTCCTCAATAGCAGACAGAATGGAGTCGATGGCCTGGTAGTATATTAGACGGTAGTGGTCCTCGACTGATTGCGCAAAGTGAGGTGGTGATGATCCATCTTGAAACCTGGCTGGTGCTCGATGCTTGTGGGAAGCTGTGGTTCATTCACGTCCAGTTGCTCTTGTTTGGCCGTGACCTTCCAGAATTTATTAAACTCCTCATCTGTGTTTAGCAACTTGAGGCCTGCGATGGTTTTCCGAGCCATCTGCTGGCCTTCAGCAGCGGAAAGACACTTCTTCTGAAGGGCAATTCTGAGGTTATGAGCCAGTTTCAAAATCAACTGACCCAGACAAACACCAAACAGGAAGTTCAATGATGAGAGCTGGAACCGCATGCTGTTGCACTTGACAGACATTTCCTGGTCATACTTTGCCATTTCCGTGAAGCGTTCCGCACTGGCTTGGAGCACACCATTGTTGATAAGAACGGTATTTAAGGACGAGGCCCTTGCTGTCCATGGAGTTGGACATAGCGTGCAAAATCCTGGCTCCTCGGGAGTGGCGACTTCCTTCTTCAGCTTGGAAAATCCAGCAGAGCGCTTGGCAGAGTACTTCAGCAGCTTGCTGAAGTCAAAGGTGGTATCCAATGCATCTTTCACAAGTGAGACATTCCTGGCCAGATCTTGGCAAGCTAAGGGCGCGTTCAGACTACCGTGAACCCCGTCAAACCGTGAATGCCGATAAACCGTGAAGGACATTCACACTACCGATAACAAACTAACGTGACCGTGAAGTTTTCAGCTCTCACCGCGGCACTGACAAGGGATTTTCCCTTTTTTTCGCAGCGCACATGCAGCCTGAGCACTTTTTTACTGCCGGTAAAAGTTTACTGCCGCATCAGCCGCGGCAGTAAAACTTTCCCACCGGTAACGTGCCAGTAACGTCACGTGATCAAATCACCTTGGCGACTTTCCCTATCGGTCACTTTTTATCGGTAGTCTGAACGCGCCCTTAGGCTGCATTCACACACGGTACAAAACCGCATACAAGCATCATGTTCTTTGAAGTCAAAAGTGAAAAATCACATCAACATTCAAAGCCATCCCGGAGCGGCTTTGAAGGCGGCTTTGAAAGCGGATTTCGGCTTTTAGTTTTGAGGCAAGTCGAAACGAGTGGTTTGGTGTGTCGAGTGCGCAGAGTTTTTGTTAGTTTTTGGAGAGTCCGGTACCATGCCTCGAGTTGTCTTTTCTGCCAAGGTGGAGCTACGGCTGATAGAACTATGGGGAAAATACCAGCGAGAAAAGTGGAACTATGATGAAAAGAGCTGTTGCCGAGAAGAGGATTGCAGATGAGCTGAATCTGTGCGCAAAGCAGCTATCCAGAGGTGACCAGGAAATGATATACACGGCCGCTATCGTTCACAACTCCAGCACACTCAGAGGAATACAACAGTTGTGGAGGCGTTCCACTGAGATGATACTAGCGGACCAAGAAAAAGTATTTTTGAAATATTGAGCCAAGTGCCGCACGGTACCGGTGCGCTCAGCGGAAATCAAAATTCCCGCTCTTCGCCATGGGTCACGCGGGTCACTCTTTACGTGTTTGGCATGCACTGCATTTGACTGTGTGAGTGCACAGGCGTTGCAAGTGGCTTGTAAAAAAAAAGTAAATTATCGTGTCCGTTCCCGAAGGGAACTCAAGTGGCCTGTACAGTCATGTAAATGCGATTTTTGTACCGTGTATGAATGCAGCCTAAAACTCCATTGTGCCTGTTGTATGTGTGTATGTATGTATGTATGTATGTATGTATGTATGTATGTATGTATGTATGTATGTATGTATGTATGTATGTATGTACGCCACCGATGCAGCAGAGTGACTAGTACCATTTGACTTGTCCCTTCGGGGACTGCGTAGCCAGACTTGGCAGCAGGATCAAGATGTATGTATGTATGTATGCATGTATGCATGTATGTATGTGTGCGTAGTATCCCTGCTTGCTTGATTGTAGCGTATCCCCGTGTTAGCGTATCCTCGTACGTTAGCGTATCCCCGAACGTTAGCGTATGTGGTCTGTTGCCTATAAAAGCTGCTGCGCATTTCTGTTTCCATATATTAATTATCCACATGGATCGACTTTGAATGGTTGGTAGTTAGAAGTTTAAAAACAGGCTTTGTCATTGTAGTTGCTGAGTATACTATTCGTTGTGTGCATCTGCTTTCTCCAGTCCCAGCCACATTGGAATTAGACCTTCAAGAAACTATCCAACTCGATAACATGCAGAACTACTCTGTGACATGCTCAGCATCTGGCAATCCATTGCCGCAACTGGTTTGGAACACCACTGCACCCATGTTCCGTACAAACCTGACAGGCCACGTGCGCACCAGGACAGTGGGACAGATCGTCACTGGTTTACTTGACATTAGAAGCGCTAACGGCACTTTCCATGATGGCCAGTATGCTTGCACATTCGAAAATTCATTCAAGAGAGTGGACACCAATTGGGCTAATCTGACAGTTGACGGTAAGTACTAGTTTGCTACCTTGTACCATACTGTAATTTTTACAATACGCACAAGTCATTCATGCACTATTATCATGTGACCTGCATAATTTTCATACATCATACATATCCAGCACACTCGTTTTATGATAACTCGATCGTTTAAAATACACGGTTCTCGATAAGAAGAAACAGATGATCGTTGCATCCCTAATAAAAAATAATAATGATGTAAAGCTGATGGCCGCAACCAGTAAGCAGCTTGACTCAATGCTAACATAGTATCGTGCGTTGGGAAATCCATTGGAATGGTGCTTTCTCCGGCAAAGTGGGCTAAGCTTGTGTGCCCACAGTGTGCAGTTGATCCGAATCAGCCAGCAACTGTCACTGTGGATGAAGCCTCAAGCATTGCCTCCTTGGCGGACGGCTCCGTGTATGCTTACCTTGGCATAAGGGACTGTTTTGGCATGGCGGAACAGTCTGTTAACTTAACCCTTTAAGAGCCGCCCCATACTTGAATGCAAAACTTCAAAAGATCGTAACTCAGTCCAATCTCGCTCAAATCCAGTGATCGAAATATCCGGGGCGAAGAGAAAACTCTCACCTGTCGGGAGAAACAATCCGCGAAGCGCTGCGAGCAACGGTTCCTGAGATAAATCACTCGTAAGTTGAGCCGCGATCGCGGCAATTTCAAAAGCGCGCAGTGCGACTTTGGTATTGAGAATTTTGAGACTTTTCGTCACGCTGGTTTACTCGAATTTGCACGGGTCTCACTGTTGATATTGTCAAGAGTACACAGCGAAAAAATTGGAACTCCACGATCGAGTAAAATGAAATATCTGTAGCGGGACGCAATTGGACACATTTCGGGCATTTTTCGTACTGTCGCTGTGATCTAGCGCTGGATAGAGGGTGTGCTGGCTATCATGATCGACCTCATTCTCTTCCTCTCGCGGATACCTTTCCAGGAAGCCCTAGATTGTGAGGATTGAGCGAGTAGAACTGAAGCTATGATCCAAGGAACACGAAAAAATGCAGAATTTTGAAATTTTCCTGTGGCTCTTAAAGGGTTAAGGTGGCCACCACCAAAGAGTTCAGGAAGCGATTGCGGCTGGTGACACACACATCTCTCAATGCCTGCAACCTCTCTCGTGCCTTTAATTCTTATGTTATCCCAGTGCTATTGTATGGCTTGCGCATTGTGTCATGGATGAAGGCTGCTATTGCAACCTTCGACAGGAATGTCAGAAGTGTGCTCCACGCAGTGGGAGCACACCACCCACGATCTTCCACCGTCCGTTTTCACTTGCCCAGATTTGAGGACGGCTGAGGGATTGTATCGGTTGAGCACCTGCTGATAAGGAAGTACATCCGCCTGTCTGGGTATCTCCAGGCGCACTCCGACCTGCCGCTGATTGCTGCTCTGCATGCACATCATGCAAATCTCCCACGTACAAAGTCGATCATCTCCCAGGCAGCCATGGCTGTGGAGCATTTCAACATCCCGGACATCGGAGGAGCAACAACTGATGTTGTTTTAAGTCTGCTATAACAACAACCACCCAAGCTTCTCTGCGGCAGAAGCCCCTGCATGGTCACTATTGGCAGTGGAGTGAAGGTGTACTGGACATGCCTCTCTCGTCCAAATTCGTAACGTCTCCCACATTGCGCCCATCTACGAAGTAATCCGTGTTTGCTGCTCAGGATCAGGTGGTTAATACGAGGAATTACCAGAGGTTGGTTATTGGCGACACGTCCGTGGTTGACGTGTGCCGTTTGTGCAGAGGTCCGGGGGAGACTGTTGACCATATTTTGGCATGTTGCCATGGACGACATACATAACTTGCCATAATCGTCTTGCTGCTATCCTCCACCTGGCACTCTGTCATCGCTATAAACTGGTATGTCCTGCTCCCCCGAGCCACTTGCCGCACTGCATCTAGGATAGTGAAGGCCGTAATTTAATGTGGGAAATGCCAATCCCAACAGACAGCATGTTTGGAGCAAATCGGCTGGATCTTGTGTGGGACGATGGCAAGTCAGTCCTACTTATTGATGTCAGTGTGCCACCGAATTACAGAGTGACGCTAAAGCATGCCGAGAAAAGAGCGAAGTACTTGCCCCTCGCAGTGGAAACTAGGCTGATTTGGCAGCGGGAAGCAGTGTCCATTGTGCCCATTATAGTTGGTACTCTTGGTGGCTTTTCGAAGGAAGGGGCTATCTCCATTAAAGGGGAAGTTAAGGCAAAAATTAAAATTTCACCAGTTGTAGTCTTCGGGGTGCTGAGTCGAATGGTCGTGGTCCGAGGAAGCTGAGACGCTCCCTTCCTACTTGAATCCCAATCGAACTCGCGCACTTCCACCGAAACTGGGTGACTGCGCCCTACTAGATGGGGATTTGTATGCAAAATGTCACTAAAAGCGCCGTTTCGTTCTTATAAAAGCACGGATGACCGCGAATGGCCCATATGTTGTAGTCTTTTGGACGCTGAGTCGACTAGTTTTGGTCCGAAAAGGCTGCGATGCAGAGTTCCTCCTTTATTCCCAATCGCACATGGTTGAACAAGTGGTCACGTGCTCCTGGGTGCCCAAATCACCTGGTCACCACGCCAGCAGGCGACAACTTTCACACCAAGGTTCAACTCGAGTTCAACTCGAGTGACAGGACTGCACCCAAAAAAGGTCAAACAGGCTAGTAAGTTGTACCCTGCAGGCACGGTGACCAGCTGACTGGTGTACGCAGGAGCATGTGACCGCTTGTTCAACCATGTTCGATTGGGAATAAAGGAGGAACGCTGCATCGCAGCCTTTTCGGACCAAAACGAGTCGACTCAGCGTCCAAAAGACTACAACATATGGGCCAATCGCTGTCATCCGTGCTTTTATAAGAACGAAACGGCGCTTTTAGTGACATTTTGCATACAAATCCCCATCTAGTAGGGCACAGTCACCCAATTTCTGTGGAAGTGCGCGAGTTCGATTGGGATTCATGTAGGAAGGGAGCGTCTCAGCTTTCTCGGACCAAGACCATTCGACTCAGCACCCCGAAGACTACAACTGGTGAAATTTTAATTTTTGCCTTAGGAAGCTCCAAGCTTTCCAATGGTGTAATCGCTTTTGCGATAGGAGAAACGATGATAAAGATATGGCGCTCGAAAGTTGGATCGCGGCACTAAATTGTTCAAACGTCTCAAAATCATTTTTTGCCTCGTGCTTCGGGGATTTCCCGTGGATCACGTGGTGTGCAGCCAGCTGATGACTTGTGGGTGTAATGACGTCGAAACTACTGATTGAGATGCAAAAAAATCCAGAGCTGTGCAAGAAACGACAGTGAAATGGCATTGGGATGAAATTTAGAAGTATTTCTTTCAACACGAGGCCCGACCTATGGCGATTCTCTGCGCTCTGGAGCAGGCTTTGTGGCACCCACGGAGTTGAGCGTGGCCTCATTCTCTTGGCAGCGGAAAGAGCGTTTCAAAGAGCCCTAGACTGTCAAAATCAAGCAAACAGAACGTAAGTTATGGTGGAAATGGTGGAGTGAACTGCAATTGCGCATTTTCACGCGTTCAATGGCACCTCAAAGGGTTAAGCAGCTATGTGGAGGAGAGCAGCATCTTCATGAACTGCAGTAGGCTGCTATCCTTGGCTCGATGGCCATTCTACGATCTGTTTTGGGTGCAGAATAGGACTTTTCATTGTCCCTGGTTGTCTTCTTTTGCTCTGTATGTTATTGTATTTGCTTTAGTTTGTAATTAAAACACTGTGGTTTGTATTGAAAAGAAAAGGGACTAAGGAACTACAAGTTATGCTATACTGTCCACTGACACCACCAGTTACTAAACAATCAGCTCATGCGGTAACATTGCACGACGCTGACCGACGGTACTGACGTTCTACAACTAACTGGCTGACAGTTCTAGCACATCTTGGATGCGCACGCCAACAGCCTTCCAACTTGCGAGGTTCCAAGTTACAATGATAGCATAGGAGGGGAAGGTGAGCGCAACCAAGACAAGCGCGTGCTGAAAGTCTCAGCTGTGAAGGACGTTGGCGGATGTTCATGCATGTCGATGACGATACTGGCAAGGCCATTGGACATAGCTTTATAGCGTAACTTGTAGTTTGTTAGTCCTCTTTTCTTTTCAATAAATTTATCCTTGGCTTTCCATCCAAGTCCCCTGTGTTATTTATGTGGTTATTCGTTCTT